GTCCTGCTGCACCAAAGTCGGCGTCCCATCCGACTCCTCCGTTGCCGGCAGCTCCCCTGTCGGGTTCACCGTCCGCTGCTCCCCTGTCGGCGACTTTCAGGCGGACACCTCCTTCGCCGATTTCACCTTTGTCGGGGTTGCCTGCTTGGCCTGCCGCTCCCCTGCCTTCGTCGGATCCGCTTCCACGCCGACTTGCTTGACACCACGTCGGCCAGCGGCTATGCCCTTAGCCGGCGCCACAGGCAGCACTCCACTGCTCCCCTCATCGTCGCAGGCTGATATCGGTGTCAGCGCATGCGGAACGGTGACGGGAGGTGGAACGGCAGGGGTAGGGGGAGGAGGGAGGACTTCCTCGGCGTCCTCAATGGCAAACTCACCGACCTCAGCGAGCAGAGGAAGGGTCGCCGTGGAGGTGTCCGTCGGCAGGTTGGCCAGCGTCTACCCTAACGTCGGCCCATGCTGTGATTTCCACACCTCAAGCGACAGCTCTCATAGAACACCACGTTAGACGTGGTGACCACCCGGTTGTCGGCGAGGTCGAGGAGCTCCCAGCCCTTGCTCTCCTCCGACACGCCGAGATGAAGGCCCCACCGGGCCTTCGGCTTCAGCTTCCCACCGCACTGCTGTTCAAGGACTAGGAACTGCGCCATGCAACCCCACACGCGCACCAGTGGCAAGTCGGGCTTCTTCCGGGTGAGCAACTGGTACGGCGTTGTCCCCGGCGGCAGCGACAAGCGCTCCAGGCAATTCCGTACCCAGACGGCCTGCTGCAGGGTGAGGTGCCACCAGTGGTGCTGCACGCCCATATGCAGCAGCATCGTCCTCATCTCTCGCTCTGCCGTTCCGTTCTGCTGCGGGGTGTACAGGAAGGTCAGGTCGTGGACGATCCCCTTGCCGTCCATAAAGGTGGTGAAGTCCTTCCCGAGGAACTCCCCTCCCCGGTCAGAACGCAGCATCAACACCGACTTCTTCGTCCCCATAAGGTGGTGCGAGCAGCCGTTGTCGAGCAGAACCACCGCCGGGTTTACCTGCACGGCGGCTGCCACCGCCTGGAAATCCTCACCGGCCTCCGGCGCCAGTGAGACGGTCGGCTCCACGATGCCGACCAGCGAGCACGACGCCTCCCCGTCGCCTCGCCCCTTGCCGCTAGCAGAGGAGTCGGCGTCCTTCGCCGAGGTCGACTTGTTCGACTGCTTCTCCTTGCGCGGCTGGTTTCCTCAATGTGAACGACGGCTGGCCGACCTCCCACAGCCTCCCTTGGCGTCGTCGTCGGAGTCACTGCGGTCGGGGCACTCAAAGGAGAGGTGGTCGGGGTCACATCACAACCAGCATTCCTGGCATCGCCCTCCTCCTCCACGACTGCTGTCCTTCTCCATCTTCCCCTTGTCAGCGTCCTTGGCCGGCTTCCCACCTCCGCTACCACCGCCGCCAGGCTTGCCGCGTTGTCCCGGTCGACTACCTTGCTTCGCCGGGCCGACGTAGTTCGCCTGCAACAGGAGCTCCATATACCGCTCGGCCTTCTGCATCGCCTCGTCCTGCAGGATATACGAGGTCAAGGAGTCCTCATGAACCGTCGCCCGTATGCTTGGCACCACCAACAGTCGCTTCAGCAGGATGTAGCTGCTCAAGAGCCCCTTTAGGACGTGCGTGACATACGACTCGATAGAGTACTGCACACCAGCCATCCTCATGGTGGCGAGAAGTCATCGAGCCCGGTTGCAGTAGTCCGTCGCCGTCTCCTGCTAGGCCATCCGCAGGTGCGTCATCTGCTCCTCGAGCTGGCCGATGTACAGGTCGTCGGTGACCTGGTACGTCGACTCAATGAAGAACCATGCCTGGTGGCCTGCGTCCAAGTAGTCCCTCCATGGCTTCAAGGCGATCTGCACGTCCGGCGAGCAGCACCGCGAGATGACCGTGAAGGTCAGCAGCTGCACAACGCGAAACTCCGCACGCAGGTCGGGGTAGTTCTCCAACGGGATTGCCACGGTGCCGGCAGTGAAGCCCATCAGCCCGGCCATCTCCAGCTGGGGCTCAATGGCTTCCTTCCAGGTGAGAATGTCGGGTCGACCGACCAGCAGGGGGGTGACCGAGATCCTGTCCGGCGTAAACTTGAAGTAGCCGTAGCTCGGCGCAATCCCTCCCGCCATCACGGGAGTCGCCAACATCGGTGCTAATCCACTTCGTCGGCCTCCGACGTCGCCCTGCGAGGCCCCTGAAGCCGCTGACGACTGCATTCCTTGCGACCGCATTCCTTGCGGCTTCACCGGCATGTATCACTCCTCTCGATCTCAACGTGCCTCCCACACTGCTGCCGACCTAGTCACATGCGTTGACGCCCACGTCGACGCCGCCTGAGTTGTGCACCGGTCGTGGAGACACCGGTCGAAAAGGGTGCTCCGTCGCCCACACGGCGCGGATGCCAGCCTCGACGACCGCCAGCGGGAGAGTCCCGTACTCGTTCGCCGCATGGCGTCTCCTTACATCGTACAGCTGTGCCTCCAAGGTGTTCGCGACGCCCGCCTCAACTACGGGGTCCACCATGGCGTCCAACACAGCCGACAGCCTACAAACACGCTAGGTAAGTGCAAAGTCGGCTGAACCGAAGGTGTCTTCGCGGTGTCTTCCACGCTCACCGCACCATGCGGAGATAACTAGTACAACGGGAGCTTGACTACAAGGAAGGCACGTGTGTGAAAGGGATCTTTGCGTTCGTTTACTTAATCGTTTCCAAGTGCTCACACAGCCTGCTAGTTCACAGGGGAAATTGGCAAGAGTTTCACTAGGAAAAAATCACAACGATGACTCAGAATGATAGCAACAACATTAGCATGCAAGGCTACATCAAAGCTAGCCCGAGTGCTGGTCGACCTCCAGCGCAGCACGGTCGACCGCGTTCCAGCGCAGCAATGCTTGCACCGCTCCAGCGCTGCAGAGATGCGGCGCGCCAACGTTGCAAGTCCACGGTGTGCCAACGCTGCAGCAAGTCGGCTGCATAGCGTTGCACCCGCAGGACAACAGTGCACCTGCTTCGCAGGTGTGCATGGCTGGTTGGCATTCCACGCCCCGTCACGTGCCCAGTGCAGACACTCCGCAAGTGATAGCGCCCACTAGCCATGTCGACCTCGGGATACCACCCTTGAGGTTGTCCTCGCAAAAACCACCCTGTCGACCCTCGCACACGTCGCCCGGGTATCTCGGTCGACCGGGCAACCCCGCCTGGTCGTCCAGCCCAGTCGGTCGCCGGCTACACCAAGCCCGACGTCCCAGGTCGGCGTCCACTCGCCCAGGACGCCGTCCAGGCGCCCAAGTCGGCGTCCAGGCGCCCGGGACGTTGAGCAGGCGCCTAGGTCGGCGTCCAGCCTCCCAGGACGCCGAGCAGACGCCCAAGTCGGCGTTTAGGCGCCTAGGACGCCGTCCGCACGCCCAAGTCGGCGTCTAGGCGTTCAGGATGCCGTGCAGACACCCAGGACGCCGCCCAGACGCCAAGGACGGCGTCCACCTGCTCGGCGCCCTCCAGCCAGGCCCCCCTCAACTCAACGCCCTTGCAGTGGCCTCCGTGCCCACTGCTGCTGCTGGTCGGCTGCATCTCCCCTGCACACCCGACCACGAGGTCGGCTTCGCTCAAGCGAGGATGGAGCCAAACACTACTCTCGTTGACATTGGGCCTCTCAGTAGAGAGCTGCCATGGACTCATAGATGGCCTCCTATAAATCCACAGCACAAACGTCAACGAGGTTCCACCCCTGGGGCGAACGTAGTCGATGGCATGTGGATCTTCAGGGTGAAGCGGCCACAAAATCTCCTCCGGTCTTCAAGGCGCGCTATGTGGCTAGAGGTTTCAGTCAGCACGAGGGAGTTGACTTCTTTCAGACCTTCGTGCCTACCCCGAAGATGACCACTCTTCAGGTGTTACTGCACGTAGTAGGACAGAGAGACTATGAGTTACACTCTCTCGACTTCTCAACTGCCTTCCTTCAGGGTAGTCTACACGAGGAGGTTTGGCTTCGTCGTCCGTTTGCCTTCACTGGCACTTTCCCTCCTAGGACCCAGTGGAGGCTGAGGCGACCGGTCTACGGTCTCTGTCAGTATCCTCGTGAGTGGCACGACACCCTTCGTTCTACCCTGTCTGACCTCGGTTTCCAGCCGTCTTCTGCCGACCCGTCGCTGTTCGTTCGTCGTGGCTCCACACCGTTTGTTGTACTGGTCTACATCGACGACCTGGTTTTCACCACTACTGACAGGGTTGCTTTGGCTGACATGAAGTCCGAACTGCTAAAGAGACACACGTGCACTGACCTTGGTGAGCTGCGCCACTACCTTGGCCTGCAGATCACCAGGGACAGAGCCGCTCGCACCATTACACTCTCACAGTCACACATGGTGCAGCAGGTTCTTCAACTATTCGAGCTTCAGCACTCCACAGTATATCACACACCTCTTGCCGTTGGCCACAGACTCACTGGTCCCTTTCTTGACGAGCCGTTTGAGCCTAGTGGTCCTTACGCAGAGCTTGTGGGCTGCCTCATGTACTTGATGACTTGTACTCGCCCGGACCTCGCCTTCCCTCTCAGCATCCTTGCTCGCTTTGTTGCGCCAGGGAGACACCGTCCTATTCACTGAATAGCTGCTGTGAGGGTGGCAAAGTACCTAGCGACGACATCAGGCGTGGGGCTGGTTCTTGGAGGGGGGCAGTCTGTCGTACTTACAGTTCACTGTGACTCTTCTTACGCTGACGACGCCGAGACTCACCGGTCTATTCAGGGGTACTGTTTCAGCCCTGGCTCTGGAGCTGTTGCTTGGAGGTCCACACGTTCCTCCTCGGTCTAGACCTCTTCCCTTGAGGCTGAGATCAACGCTGGAGCCATGACTGCACAGGAGCTGCGCTGGTTCTTGCTCACTGACCTTGTGAGCGGCCGAGCTCTGCACCGACCTTGTTCACAGACAACAAGGCATCGATTCTCCTCTGTCGAGAGCCGCGACTGGAGAGCAGAGTGAAGCACATGAACGTAAGGTGCTTTTTTCTGTGAGAGTTGCAGAGGCGTGGACAGGCTCGCTTCGACTTTGTGGTTTCCGAGGCCAACACTGCAGACATCTTCACCAAGGCCCTTCCGCCTTGTGACCACCAGAGGTGTTGTGTGCAGTTAGGCCGTCTTGACACACGTTCTCGTCTTGCGTAGACTTGAGTTCTCTGCTTAATTTGTTTGTATACGTTGCTTATACCTCTGTGAACTTTTGAACTGGCCTTGTGGCCCTTTTTCTAGTGCTCAGACTGTGTGATGACGTTGTGATCCACCCTGAGCTTTGCTGTTGTGTGACTGGTCTTTTGACCTTACGGTTTTCGTTTTGCTTGACACCCCTCACTTAGGCTATGGGGGTGTGTCAAATATTGTAGCCGTTAGTGAAGTGTGTCATATGGGGTACAGTAATTAGGGTTAGGCTGATGTACCCCAACCTTAGTCATCATCATTCAGTTCTCGACAAATACGGTAGCTTCCCTTATCTCCAACTCAGAAGTTAACCGTCATCGCCCAGATAGTAGACAGTGTTGAATAGTAGACAAAGGTTGTCTATTATCCGGGTGTCTCTTATAAACAGGCTAGCCTCATTATAAGACACCTATTTGTGTGTACGAGATAAGACATATATGTGACGGGCGCTCCGATAGTAGGGCGCACGAGGGCGCTAGTAGGTAGTAGGTAGTGGTGGGCCCGAAGAGAACTTAGGTCCTAGCGAAGGACCTGCTCTGAAACCATGTCAGAATGAACGGACTGGAATGACTGTACTAGCACAAAGTTGGATACAAGTAGGAAACCCTAATCTAGTGTACCCCCTAAGGTGTAACCCACTACAGCCTACAATCATATAAACATATAATGTTTGACAGAAGAAGAAGAAGAAGAAGAAGAAGAAGAAGAAGAAGAAGAAGAAGAAGAAGAAGAAGAAGAAGAAGAAGAAGAAGAAGAAGAAGAAGAAGAAGAAGAAGAAGAAGAAGAAGAAGAAGAAGAAGAAGAAGAAGAAGAAGAAGAAGAAGAAGAAGAAGAAGAAGAAGAAGAAGAAGAAGAAGAAGAAGAAGAAGAAGAAGAAGAAGAAGAAGAAGAAGAAGAAGAAGAAGAAGAAGAAGAAGAAGAAGAAGAAGAAAAAAAAAAAAAAAAAAAAAAAAAAAAAACGTTTCAGACTGAAGGCAGTTCGGCCAAAAAATGGCCAATCTGATTGCTCAGTCACCAGATCATAACTTCAATGATCACTCAGGGTTCACGAGTTCAGAACAGGGTCACGCTTTTCACCATCGTTACGAATGTTGTTCAGGATCCGTCACTTCGAGAGCTTACGACGAACTCATTTCTCAACTAAACGCAAATCCGCTCAATAGGATATTGCTCCTTAGGCGTAACTACCATCTCCAATTTGAACTACGTAAAAAGATGGTCTAGAGAGTGAGAACAGTGTAAAAACGTCCAGCAGCTGCATGACTAGAATGGTGGAGGAAGTACAAGCATTAAGGCATAGAAAGTTGGAATTGGGGGCTCCAAGAGAACCATGAGAGGGAAGGGGTTCTCCAAGAGCTAGGGAAGGATGGTAGGAACCTTCCTAGCAGTACGGATGCAACCCTCATGATGAGGTCCTTGAGGTGTCACATGCAAAATCCAATCTAGTTGGATTTTGCCTAGGTGTTGCAACATTTGCAACCCAATGATCGCCCAAATTAGATATAACCCCAAAAGGTAATAAGAAATCCAAGTCTTGGAAATCTTGTAACTTGGGCGATCTTGGTCGGAATAAGGCGATCTTGGTATCGTTGGAAAGCTCTGGATTTCTCCTGCATGATCAAGCATGTAGACTTGGAGAAAATCATAGATATTATAAAATCCAACAGCCATGCACAATAACATATGCTCATGCAAATAATGCAAGCACAAATTGCACGAGCACTCAGCAAGACGTTAGGATGACATGCACTCAAAATGACGTGCATCCAACAAACTCCCCCTCAGACTAACGGACTGCATGCACACACACTCACAAGCATGCAAACACTCATGCACACAAACACACATGCATGCACTCTTGATACTGCTGCCCACACTAGTGCAATGCCATGCCACACATCTTAGCACACTTCCAATGTGCGCTCTCGGGAAGTCTCTTGGTGAGAAAATCTGCTGCCTACTTGCTAGCCTTCACATGGTGAAGCTCAACAACTCCCTCCTTCACCATCTGCCTCACCCAGTGCCACTTAATCTTCATGTGCTTGTTCAGCCCATTCAGGATAGGATTATTGGCCATGCCAATAGCAGCCTCGCTGTCAGAGAAAAGTGGTGTAGGTCCCTCCTGTTCAGCTCCCATGTCCTCCAGCAGCTTCCTCAGGAGCACGATCTCCTTGATGGCATGGTACACTGTCATGTACTCTGCCTCTCCGAAAGACTGAGCGATCTCATTTTGCTTCTTTGACCTCCAGCTCACTGGTCCACCTCCGACCATGCACACAAAGCCGCCAACTGATGACTGATCCTCCTCCTCCGAGGCCCATGTAGTGTCGGTGAAGCATGACGGCTTCAAGATTCTAGCCGTGATCCCATCTGCTCCAAACTGTTTCAGCTGCCCGCCAGCTAAAAACTAAACACCACTAGATGTCGTTGATCCGAGGTAGCGCACCAAGCGCTTTGCCACCTCCAACTGCTCCTCAGTGGGCCGCTGCACAACTCTGGCTAGCTGCCCCACTCCAAATGAAGCATCAGGTCGCGTATGCACAGCTGCATACATCACACTCCCAATGAGTGACTGGTACTCATTCTGCTGCTCATCCTCAAGCACATTATTCTCCTCAACTGCCTTCTTCAGTTTGAAGCCTGCAGGAAACGGCGCCATCACAGTGTGACCTCTAGTCACACCATAGCACTCTATGACACCAGAGATGTAGTGTGACTGATGCACCTTCAGCCACCTCCTCTCAACATCCCTCTCAATCTGCAGCCCCAAGTAGTAGTGGACATCCCCCAGCATCTTGCACTTGAAGTTGTCCATCAGCAGCTTCTGTGTCCTCTCAATCTGCTCCATGGAGGGTGAGAACAGCAGTATGTCGTCGACATACACCAGCAGCAAGAGCAGCTGCTCCCCCTCTCCAAGCAGAAACAAGCTGTGATCCGCTTGGGACGTCTTGAAGCCTCCACCCAGCAGCACCTCCTCCAGCTTCTCGTACCAGCACCTGGGCGCTTGCTTAAGGCCATAGATAGCCTTCTTGAGCTTGCACACCCGGCTGGTCCCATCCTCATAGCCGTCGGGCTGCGCCATGTAGATATCCTCCAGCAGTATTCCAGCTGTGGTGATATCCATCTGCTTCACGTGCCATCCCTTCACAGCTGCGCCAGCCAGCAAAGTCCTCAATGTTACTGGCTTAGCAACGGGAGCGAAGATCTCCCCAAAGTCGACCTTCTCCTTTTTTGCTGAAACCCCTTGGCGACCAAACGGCTCTTGAAGCGCTCCAATGCACCATTAGCTCCACTCTTCACCTTGAAACCTACTTTCTGCTGATCGGCCGTCGCCCCTCGGGTAACTCAACAAGCTCCCAAGTCCCATTCTCAATGAGACTGTTGAACTCCGCATCCATGGCAGCCTTCCACTCCTCCTTCTGGAATCCACTGTGACTGGTTCTCCAGGCAAGGGTGTGAAGAAACAGAAGGCCATCTCCTCATCCTCTCCCTCATCCGCCTGAACCGCCATAGCACCTTGCTTGGGTCCTCCCAAACGGCTATACTTCAGCCTTGAAGGTGGCGCTGCCACTCTCTTCTCGCTGGGTTGTAGTCTGCTGCCCATGTGCTGAAGCTCCTTTCTGCACACTCCTCTTGGTGACCTTGGCGGTTGCAGCAGGCTCGGGCTGAGATGGTAAATCCACACGTGCCGACTCATCCTCCAACCCCTCCTCCGCACGAGGACCAGAAACTTGCTACTTACCACCGCCACTGTGGTCACTGGTCAGCTCTGACCCATGGAGGTCGTCAAGGTGCAGTTGAACCTCCTCCACTGTAGGCCGCTCAATCCTCTGCAGACGCAAGCCAATCTGCACCTGCTGCTGCTGCTGCCAGTCCTTGTACATGACGTCCTCCACAAAGTTGATGTCACGGCTGACCAGCGTCTTCTTGCTCTTGGGGTCCCACATCAGCCACCCCTTCGAGTCAGGAGCCATCCCAAGATGGACAGCCCACACAGCAGCAACTTCGAGCTTATGACTCCAGTCCTTAGGCACCATCACAAGCCCCATGCAGCCCCACACCCGCAGCATGTCAATGGATGGCTTCTTCCCAAGCCAACGCTCGTACGGCACCCAGTGCTTGTCGCCAACGTGTGTCAAGACCCTGTTCTTGACCGTGATGACATGGCGAACAGCTTCTGGCCAGAACTTGTAGGGCATCCCAGCAGCCCCCAACAGAGTCTTAGCCGCCTCGCCAATGGCCCGGTTGGCACACTCAGCAATGCCGTTCTGCTGCGGTGTTCCTGGGCAGGTCAGCTGGTGTCGGATGCCGTTCCTCTTGAGAAACTTGGTGAATTCCGCTCCAAGGAACTCTCCACCACGGTCGCTCCTCAGCACCTTCACCAGCCGCATCGCTTGCCGCTCCACCATCGGCAACCAATCCTCCTTGATCGCCGCTGCAGCATCGCTCTTCTTGGACAAGGGACGGGCCCACATGAAACGGCGCCATTTGTCCACCATGGTGAGGAAGTACAGCACTCCCCCAGTCCCCTCCGTCCTCATAGGACCCACCAGGTCCATGTGCACCACCTCCAAGGGTGCCTTCGCCGATCCCTCCGCACGTGGAAACTGGAGCCTCGCAAACTTGTTTTGCATGCACGCCTCGCAGCTGCCATAGTGAGCGCCATCTCCTTGCAGTTGCAGCCCATGCACGCACTTCTCCTTGTGCATCACCTCCAATGTAGAAACAGCCACGTGTGCGAGCCGCCGATGCCAAGTCTCCCAATCCGCTTGGCCCGAGGTAGCCGACGCCTTCACCGCCGCGCTTCCTCCAATCAGCTCCTCTCCTTGCACACCTTGCTGCTCCTCCTCAGTGACGCTCTCCTCCATAGATGCTGTGACTGCCGCCTTGCCTGATGTCCGCCAAGGGAGGACCGGGATCTGCCACATGCGCTTGTGGATGTCTCCCTTCCGCTGCAGGTCCCAAATGAGGCGCTCGTCGTTGTAGGCACGATAGCGCTCCGAGCCAATCGTCTCGGTGTTCACACCCGCATCTCCCAACCGGCCGGTAGAAATCAGGTTCGCACACAATTTCGGCACCCACAGCACGTTCTTCAGCCCCACGAGCTCTCCATACACTCCCATAAACTTGGCGCATCCTATGCCAATGACCTTGGCCTTGGCGCCCGTCGCGGATCTGACTGTAGAGATGGGTGCGGGCTGAATCTCATCGAGTAGGTCCGCACGAGGAGTCATGTGCCAGGAGCTTCCCGAGTCAATCACCCAATGGGTGAGGGGGTGTACAAGAACCTTGGCAGCCATAGCGAGGTCGGTCGTGCCTTCGTTCATGAAGAAGAACCCGGCCGTCCGCTCCTCAGTTTTGCCGCCTTTCTCCTCCTTCTCTCCACTAGCTCCCATAACTCCCCCACTCCTCGTGCCTCCACGGTAATTGCTTGATGAAGGTGGGGTCCAATCCTTAGGTCGTTGGTAGCACTTCCTCCAACGATGTCCGCGCTTCTTGCAGTAGAAGCACACCTCCCCTTAGCCCTTGCCGTCATCCTCCTTCAGATTGTCCTTGTTCTTCGAGCGCTCCACACTCCGCCGCCGCAAGTCCTCCTCTAGGATGCGCGCAAATGTAATCCACGCTCCACTAGGGCTGTTGAGAGTTGAGGTTGATCGCAAGGGCAAATCACGACTCCGGTAGCCTTATCACGATCTCCACGCTTTGCACGAGCTCCGAGTATACCACACCGCCACCTTGGAGCTTCGTAAAGATGTCGCGCATCTCGTCCAACACCGGTTGCATCAGGTCTCGATCAACGAACTTAATGTCTCGCAGCCGCCGCGCGAGTAGCACAATGCCGGTAGCGTGTCTCGGTAAGTGCACATCCAGAAGCTTCCTCCAAGCCTTGGGTCCAAATTCTGAATCACCCAAGGGGTCCTTGATGTGGTCAAGTTGGCGTCCTCCAACCGCTTGCACCATGAGCATGTACGCGTCGAACGATCGCTTCATCCACGCTCCTTTCAGCTCCGCGGCCTCCGGCATC